AGAAATGAATCTTCTGCGTCAATTATACAGAATCCGTATCCTTACGGACAGTTTGCAAAACTTTAACATTTTGGTAATCATACAAAACTTACATTAGACCCAAAATAAAAGATGAGTAATTCATTTATAAGCCGAGAGAAGATAAGAGCTCGTCGTTGAGCCCTCCTCTTTTTCTACGCCATGCTGTGTACAGTTATAGTATAGCATTGAACGATGCTCTGGTCAGACGTCTGCTTTATTGAGGTTTGCTTAAAAGGTTTTAAGCAGGTGAGTTCTTCACACCTAACGCCAATTCTTGGCTTTTAAAAAAATAGCTTGGATTACTTTGCAGTCTAGGCTGTCTGAATTTTCTAAACAGGCATATAAGATGCTACATCAGTGATAAATATTACGTATTTATATTTCGTATATTCAAAATCAATTTATTTTCTGATGGTTTGTCCAGCGTTTTTATGATCAGACAACCACCGTCCAAAGGTGTGGATTACACAAGTTGGCGTAATCACACAATGGTGTGGCTACACCGTAACAAAAAGCCACAAACGGGACTACCAGTAAGTATGCATATTTATTAACTTTTACTGTTTAATCAGGAAAACCGAAGGTTTTAGATATAGGCGGCTCTGCCACAAATGAAACGAAGAAATACAGTTTACATGTCAAACAAAAAATATTTGCCTTAATATTTTTTCAAGTACTCTTGGTCTTATAATGACCTTCTCGGCTAAACTGCCTGCCTTCAAGGCACCGGCAAACTCTAAAGGACATCTCGTCCAGCTCAAGAAGAGCATCCACCGCGGGAATTGCCTCGAGGATGACATCGCCGTCTTCTTCTCCCGTCATACCGTTGGCAGCTGTGTGCTATCGTCTACGGTCGACACACTCTGGGTCAGGGTCGACGCCTTGCGTCTTGCAGATAATATAAGGCTTCACCGCTTCCGCTCTAAGAGGGTTTACGTCTCATCGAGACCAGTGGGAACACACACTCGGCGTTGTTTAGTGTTCCTACTACCTGCTCCATCGGCTCTGATGTTAATGACAACATCCGACAAAGAGCTGCTTTTTCCACAGTCTGTGTTCAGTGGGTTTTGTGCCTCTCCACGTGCATCACTGGGGCCTCGCCCTCGATGCCTCGGCCCTTGGCCAACCATGCCACTCCTGGCATGGTGCGACTGCTCAAGTATCCAAAACACCTTTGGTGTTCGACAACTCGGATACTCCGATATCCAGCACATGGCCGTTCCGGTCCAGTGCCCCCGCGCCGATAGCGTTTCTGTTTCCTGGCAGTGGTGGGTTTATGACTCACCAAAGCTCCACCAGGAGACATGCGCGTAGCGCTTAACCAAGTCTAATACTAAGCAGCATTCCACGCTATCGAAATCAAGAAACTCGACACCGAGGTCCACAGGGTACCTCGGCTTCGTGACACAGGTCCCCGTCGCTAAGCGAACAATGTCGGTATCACTCAACCGCGCTTCCAGCGCCTCAGCATACAGCTGACTTCCTTCGATCGCGAAGCGTCGAGCATATTTACCCAACGCCTCGAAATTGATAAGGATTTTCCATAGCTTCTCAAATCCCTTCACGGTCGCTTTTACGACCAGCAAGCCCGGCTTACAAAGACGTTCCGAGTTCAAGAGCACACAGCTCTTTAGGGCTGGGCCCTGCTGCCCCCTGCCTTGTTGAGGAACAACGGAACTCAATTTTTCCCGCGACAAACCAGACTGGTTAGAAGCGGGACGTCGATTCGACGAACCTTTACGCTTCTCGTGCAGGGGACAACCATCCCGAAGGTGACGGGTGTCTCCACAGACAAAAACAGTGTCAGGTGTTTAAAAGCTGCTCGGCAGCTCGGCAGCTCGGAGCTCTCCTCCTCCTTCTCAGCATAGCTGAGATATATTGGCTTGGGCCCGCTTGAAGAGCTCTGATGGTGTGCATTCCAACCAAGTCGCACCAACTTAAAGTTGAATTCGACATTCAATGCCGCATTCACCGCATCGTTAAAAGAAGAGGGATGCACACGGAAGACTACAATTCTTGCCACACCAAATGCGGAGGCCCTCCATAAAGACGGTCACTGCGACCAGCTTGGAAAGACGATCGGCTGCTGTCCCGGCAATGAGAGTTCTCAACTCTTGGACAAAGTCCACGAGAACACTCGCAAAAGCTGACGCTTCAGCTCCTTCTAGGAGGGGAACGCCGCTTCAACCGAAGCACTGCACGTGAGTGTTCATTCTCGCGCTCGGCTTCCGAGCTTAGATATAGCAAGCGCCACGAGTTATTGCTCGTTCTGGAGCATGGTTGATGCCACAGCCATCTCGAACTCTCTTGCCCAGAGCAGTAGATTTTCTCTATCCTTTCCCTCGAAAGTCTTAACGCTCACCATGAGCGCCTGGGTCGGGTAGAGTCATCCGTCATCGACGGTGGCGTCATGAACGCAGTCGACGCTGACAGCTTCTGCTGTAGGTGCACTAACAGAATACTTTCATGATTTGAAAACGCCTCCTGGCACGCGCTTATGCCTTGGGACCTTGAAAAACAAGGTGTTCCACGCTCTCAGGGCCCAGCAGGGGCATCAGCTTAATAAGTCCGTCCTGCATGCCCAGGGGCAAATTGGAGCGTTGCTCCATCCTCATAGAGGATCAGACTAAACGACTCAGGCGTAGATTGACTACGAGTGCTACCAAGTGCAGCGGGGCTGCCGTAGCTCTTTGCTTGGAGGAAGTTAAGCTGAGGTCACCGACCTTACGTTCTTTACAAGAACTGGTAAAAGTGTAGCGGATTGCAATCCGCTACCTCCAAGAGTACTTCAAAACCTTCACCAAGGAAAATGAAATCTTCTGATCAGAACTGAAACTGTATTTGACTATTTAGTTGCGGCTTAGTCGTCAATATCTAAACCCTTAGGTCTTCCCAATTTATATAGTGATATCGGATTCATATAGTAAAACCTAATTAATGTGCATTATTACTACTGGCAATTCTGTGGTGGCTTCTTGATACGGTGTAGCCAGCCCATTGTGTGAAAACCAAGTTGTATAATTCACACTTATGTACGGTCACACCATCTTGTGTGACCCGCCCTTTCATACAATGCTACGAGTAATCCCGTAACACTCTCCATCAAAATTATGAATGTCCCCATTTCACATATAGCGGTTGCCTCAAACGAGATTCGCGTGTCTGAGACATCGTTTCGTCCGTCATTTGGACCTTCTTCAAACATTCTTCGCTCAATGAGCCCTGTGTCTATGACACGCAAAACACCCAGCCTAGCTGGTTCCGAGGGCGCCCGCGAGCAAAGCCCTTCTCCTTCTTCTGGACAGGGTGCATCTCCGGGCAGTACGTCCGCGGCTTTACAGGAAGCACATCCCAAGCCCTCGGCAACCGAGCACAACCCACCGCGCCCGCCCCGGGCGACGAGTTTCCTTGTCGAGGATATGGATGAAGTTGATTAACTTCCCAGCATGGGAAGACGAGGAGGATGAGGTACGCCAACGGCGCGATGTGAGCCCAGCTCAAACCTTGCGGACACCGCGTTCGCTCCCCGATCTCTCGACTTCCGGGGAAATGGAAGTTGTCGATCGTCTCGACGTGGCACAGGAGCTGCAATAAAAGGCTGCCCACAGGGCGGTTCTCATGCGCTCGTATCCACGTTCAGACATAGACCTTGTGTGGAATACGGCTTCCGCTCGGCGGATGCTACTGATGCGAAATATTCGATCACTCGATCGTTAGACGTCTATTTAGTCGGGCCCCAGCCACTAAACAAGCGGAGCTTGATCAGCGGAAAGCTCTTCGAGCTAGCTTTTTGGTACCACAAGAAATCCCAATGGATCGGTACCGCGCTCGACTTCGAGCTCAGAAAGGAGACGCTCCTGTACCAGCAATGCGGACTATTTCTGTGGTGCCCGCCCCTTGCAAAACCACTGCAGATGATGAGAAGCACTTAGAGCGATGGGTCCAGCGGCAATGGAAACTTTCTTCGCCGTCTACCTTACCGCGAAGCCACAAGGAAGTGGACGTGCTCGTAAAGCGCCATCTTAGATATGAGTTTGACAAACTCAAGGCCCAACGCCGTCTTCCTACGTATTGGCTCCCTGCCACACATGAAATCATTCATCACGCTCCTGTGAGCTCTGTGATTACTCACACGGGTGAGTCTACGACGACAGCAGCTCAGGGCAATAGCTTAAGCTCAGCTCATGCTCCTCCCGGCTTCCCAGGATACTGCCGAGAAGCGCGGGGCGTACAACGACGCGAAGCGTCATGATCCTTCGGATCATAACGACATAAAACCGTTTTTTTATTCATAGCTTCTGTCTCATGTACCCTACTAAAGAGTTCGAAAAATGACATTGGTTTTGGTTTCTATCAATTCCATTTCATGCACAGTGACTATCGCAGCGTCGTGCCTGCGCCGAGAGTGCTTTTCTTTGCTGACAGAGTTATTGAAAAAGCTACTCCAGGGTAGAAATACGTGGGATCTTACTTTTCGAGTTACACCCAATCTAAACCACGTAGCGTTATAGCCGTTCCATCCCCTAATGAGATCGTATCGTCGATCCTGGCCCAGAACCAGACATCGATTGACGCCGATAGACACCTGTTAAATTGCTTAAAGGTTTAACCTAAATTTCGACGCTCCTGCAGGTATCTGATCTGCGTAGTCTGAACGTCTTCTTTTTGGCGAGCGATTACTGCATTGAACCCTTTGGTCACTAGTTTCTAGATACCATCGACACCAACAGTTGACATAAGTATACGAAGCGTATTGACTACAAGTGCTACTAATTTCAGCAGGATTTCCGTGTACTATGGAGAGAGGAATCTTCAAGCAAAATTCTTTATCAACAAACGCACGGATATGGATTCGTACACTCTTACCAGAAGTGAAATTAAAAGTGTCTAAAAGAGCTCAGTGATTTGTTTGATCAACTATCCAAGAATGACATAAATTTCATATAAATTAAGTTAACCATACGCTTACAATACCACAGAGATAACTGGTTTATATCACGACCAGTGGTTAGTGTGCCATGGTCTCTCCCCGACGAGGTCCCATCATCGTTACTTTGATATTTATGCATATTCAACAGTCTAATCCGAGATTTGGACAACATCTTCCGAGGGATCGGATCCCAATTAACATACGTATGTACCCCGTTACAGCTTTTGCATATCAGCCTACAACTCGTACATAAACAAACAAATCACCAGTGCATCACTATCCTGCCTCGTTAATCATCCCATCAACTTTTTGTTTATACCGTTGAGTCTCGTTTGAAATTCCCGACTAGGTCATCCTTTTGTTAGACCTATTCCTTGCCCATTCACAATCAAGCAATTGTGTACATATTATGGTCTCTCACTGATGTAAGAGGAATTTAATTTTTGATAACTACATAATGGCTTATAGATTTTTATCGCCACGTAAAGAACCAGGTGTGGGAGTTGACTGGCTCAGAAAATGGCTTTAGCTGTGTGAATCTTCTACACATTGAGAAAGTGCATACTTACAATTTTGATTACGCAGATAAGCTGCATTTTATGGCTTCATCACGGCAATTCGAGGCACTGGCTCTGTTGCGCGAAGAGCTCAAACCAGACGCACGATACTGAAACGAAGATCAAAGCATCCTGAGCATAAAAGACACTCATACCGAAATCAAGACAAAGCACCTTAAGCAAACAGAGCACATGCAACCAAAAAGTATGCTACTGTACCAGCAGGTTGTAAATACCGCCAATCAACGATTTGAGCGTTATTCTCGCCATTCGACACCCCACACAGTGCGTGTTAAAACTCTATAACGCTTTGATCCACAAAATCTCTGTCGGTGGAGAAATTCTCTTTTAATACTCAGCCCGCATTAAATTCAATTAAGTTAGTCAAAGGCGAAGAGCAAAGTCAGACAGGTAGTTAGTCTTTCCTGTATAATATTATACACAATGACGGAAATGAAGTCAACAGATTTGGCTGGTGAATTTATATGGAGCATGCCCCATTCGTTCTATGCAAAGAGCAAGACGTTTTATCCTGATTTAAGTGGAGGAGAGTCT